CAGACCATCCCCTGACTCAAACTAGTTTGTTATGAAAATCCCCAAACTCGATTCCATGGGTGACTCTGGATTAACTCCCCGCGGTAGTTTATTGTTGGACATGGTTTTTTAAATTTATTGTTGTACATTGTTTAATTGTTTGTTTTTCTTCTGTGACTGTACCCCCAAGTGTGTTTTTATAAGCTGGTCTCCGACAGTAATAAATTATCTATCTATCATCATCTATCTATCTATCTATCTATCTATCTATCTATCTATCTATCTATCATCTATCATCTATCTATCTATCTATCTATCTATCATTTACCTGATGATGCTGAAACAAAACAGAACTCCATTCTTAGATCTCTTCTTGTTTACAGTGGTACCTCAGGTTACATATGCTTCAGGTTACATACGCTTCAGGTTACAGACTCCTCTAACCCAGAAATAGTGCTTCAGGTTAAGAACTTTGCTTCAGGTTGAGAACAGAAATTGTGCTCCGAGCGTGGCAGCAGCAGCAGCAGGAGGAGGCCCCATTAGCTAAAGTGGTGCTTCAGGTAAGAACAGTTTCAGGTTAAGAACGTACTCCGAAACGAATTAAGTACTTAATGCGAGGTACCACTATATTAAGTTTACAAGCACTTTCAGAAAAGCTGGATACAGTGGTACCTCTAGATACGAACGGGATCCATTCCGGAGCCCTGTTCGCATCTAGAGGTTAAACGTAACTAGCGACGGCACGTCTGCGGACACGTCGCTTTTTGCCGCTTCTGCGTATGCGCGTGACGTCATTTTGAGCGTCTGCGCATGCGCAGAAGCGGCAAAACCCGGAAGCAACACACTCCATTACTTCTGGGTTGCCGCAGAGTGCAACTCGAACGCGCTCAACACAAGCGTATTCAACCCGAGGTATGACGGTATATCGCTGTACGTTCCCCAGTTCCTCTTAATATTTATTTTCTTCTGTGCACACAACTGTGTTTTTCTGCCCAGCTCCCAGAATGTCCACCTCAGGAACAGGCGGTTGTGGGTGGGCGCCTTGATTTGCAGCCACCTGGGTTGGCACAGGGCAGCCCAGCTGCCACCTTCCCACCCGTATCTCCCTCCTGTTATCTCTGTGCCCGCCTCGGCCCTTGGCGCACTCTATAAAAGCGAGCTCTCGCCGCAGGCTTCAACCTTCCTTCTCCCTCAACCGCTGCAACGATGAAGACCTCGCCAACCTTCCTCCTCGTCCCGCTGCTCTTTGCCCATGGCCTGGGGCCCAATGCCCGGCGCCGGCCGATCTGAAGACTTGCCAACGGCAACCAAGATTCTGGCGGCCCAGCTCTACAACCAAGAACAGCCCCTACTACGACCAGTGCTGCGCTGGCAGCGTCCTGGTGGATGCCACCGGACGGAGGACCAGCCCTTACATGCCATCTGCCTTCGTCAACAACAAGGTGACTCGCTGGTGGTTGGGGCAGAGATGTGAGCTGACCGTCTGGTCCAGCAAGGGCAAAGGGGCAAGACCCGCAAGTTCAAAGCCGGCGCCTTCCCGCGTCTCCAGGAAATCCGGAAGGGCATCTTCGGCGACTGGGCCAATGCCATCTCCGCCTACTATTGCAAGTGCAGTTGAGGAGACCACGCCAGAGCCGTGCGAGATAGGACCCCGTGGCCACGGGCAGCTCTTGCCAGCCTGACCCGCAGCACCCCAAGCGATGTTCCCCAGGTCTTGCACCGCAATGCCCCACTCTGTTGCCACTAAGGATTCTGGGATAGCTAACTCCCAGAATCCCCTGCTCTTGCCATGGCAAACGCTCTTGCCAACTGGAAGATCTCCCTCCCAGAATCCTCTGCGTTGCCCATGGGAAAATCTCTAGCCAACTGGGAGAAGTCTATCCCAGAATCCTCTGCTCTCGTCACGTCTCCAGGGCAAATTCTCTGGTCAACTGGAAGATCTCCCTCCCAGAATCCTCTGCGCTGCCCATGGCAAAATCTCTAGCCAACTGGGAGAAGTCTTTCCCAGAATCCTCCGCTCTTGTCATGTCTCCAGGGCAAATTCTCTGGTCAACTGGAAGATCTCCCTCCCAGAATCCTCTGCGTTGCCCATGGCAAAAGGTCTGTCCAACTGGGGGATTTCTGCACCCAAACGAAATGTGAACCTCTAGGGAAAAAATCCATCTTCTGATAGCAAGCAATTCACCTACAGGGAGCAGGAACGACGCCACGAAAAAGCAGAAACCGGCAATTGAATTTAATTTTCACAACCGCAGCAGAGAAGGAGGGTTCTCCCTGAGCGTTGACGATCTCCCAAGCTGGACACCTTGCCCGAAATATATGTAGCTTCTGGTGCTTTTAAGATCTTTCCCGCATTCCCCACTTTGTTCTGGGTGTAGTGTTTTGGGTTTTTTTGGCTTTTTAAGACAGGCGTTCCATCTTCAAAGCCATTGTGTCTCTCTTTCTCTCTCTCTCCCCCCTCACAACTGCTTCCCCAGAGACACGCTTTGCAGCAAGCGCTCCTTCTGCCTCGTCTAGGCCACTATTTCCTCCGCGTCGCCACGATAAACATAATTAAAAGCGAAAGAACACGGCTTTCGGAACACGTTCCATGTCTCTCTCTCTTTTTTGTAGCTCAAGGTCAGCAAATGATGGGTAGCTCCTACTCTTTCTCGCCTCTTGTAAACATTTAATTGGAAAGAGCTTTCAGGGAGCCGGGAGCAGAATACAATAATCCGCGCCAAATTGTTTTCAATTTAGCTCCCTTCCTCCGAGGCAGCTCCAAACTCGGCACCTCCAAAGGAGGGTGGGGTGCGAGAGATGGAGTTGGATCCAGGGCTTGCCACTTTGCCAATTTCAATGCCAGAGAGATCAACGCTTGAAGTTTGGGCAGGGGGAGGGGTGCCTCTGAGCACAAGCAGAGTGCCACAGAACCGTATAGCTGGAAGGAGTCCCCGAGGTCAACAAATCTAAGCACCGCGATGCAGGATCGCAGGATTTCTGACCGATGAAATCCCCCTACTTAGATGGAATAGCCGAGACTCTGAATCTCAGGGTTGCGGGTTTGAGCGCCGCAATCAGGCAAAAGATTCCGGTATCACAGGCGGGTTGGGCTAGATGATCCTCAGGGTCCTTCAAACTCTATGATCCTATGAAAATGTCACAGAATCAGGCCAAAAAGCCGCCTTAGCCTTGATCCAGGGGTGGGGAGCAGAGACCACATCCTCCACTGGTCTTATTTCATGCCCTGAGCTTTTTGTCCCCGCCTGGAACCAAAGGATCATAGAATTCTAGCGAGGTGTGGGGGACCCCCAAAGGTCATCCAGACCAACCCCCTGCAATGCAGGAATCACAGATAAAGGATCACTGGCAGATGGCCACCCAAGCTGTGCTTAAAAAGGTCCAAGGAAGGAGAACACACTGCTGTCCACTGTTGAACGACCTTTCTCTTTAGAAAGGTTGACCCGAATTTTTCGTCGGAATCTCCTTTCGTTGTTGCTTGAAACTGGTGGTTCTGGTCCTGCCCTCTGTAGCAGCAAAAAATAAATAAACGCAGGCTTCATCTTCCAAGGGAGAGTCCTTCAGGTATATTGGAAGATGGCTATGCAATCACCTCTTCCCTACTAAATGCATATAGCACTGCAGCCTCAATGCCCAGTTTCCCATCTGTGCCATGGCAGTAAATGCAGATTTTCAATTTCTTTAACATCAGCAGTTACATCTGAACCAAAGGAGCGTTTCAGCCCCGTTCTTGAGTTTGTTTAAAATCTAAAACATCTTATCTCGTATTCCCTTGTAAGTTTTAAAAAACCTTTTTGTAAAGGCAATACTAGAGTTTTCACAGCCGAGTCCTCAACTCCTTATTGCTACTGCTTGGCTTTCTTTAAATAGGGCTACATCTAAAACGTGCCACTGAGGTTTTCAAACCTTTTTTGTAAACTCAGGGAGCGTTCCAGCCCTGTTCTTGAGTTTGTTTAAAATCATTTAAGGTTTATGATTTCTCTGTTTCCTTCTGAGGAAACTGAATAGTCCAGTGAAACGAGGTTTGTAGCCGGCATCCCGCCAAGGCTTTGTTCAATTCTCGGTTTTTCTAATTTTTAAGGCTTTGTTCAATTCTAGGTTTTCTAATTTTTTCCCTTAAACTTTTTGATTTTTGTTATTTAGTTGAATTCTATAATACCTCTTGTTTCAGGGATTTTCACGGTATTTCATTGGTTTTGTGTAATGGCACTATCCTGATTAAATATACGGAAATTTTCTATGTTTTCTGACTTCAAGGAGATGCACAGCGGCACTCCAGACTCCGAATATATTGGAGCTGGCTGGAGTTCCATCATACCTTCTCCAGGCTAAATATTCCCAACTCCCTTGACAGTGGAAGAGTCTCCCTTGGGGGGTTGTGGACTCTCCTTCCTTGGAGGTTTCTAAGCAGAGGTTGGGTGGCCATCTGTCATTGCTTCAACTGAGATTCCTGCATTGAGCGGGTTGGACTAGATGTCCTTTGGGTGTCCCATTCCTACAATTCTGTGATTCTCTTCTCGGTTTCCAGGCCCTCTCTGTTCTTCCCTCTCTGCTACGGAACCCCAGCCAGTTCCAGTATATTCGGAGTCTGGAGTGCTGATGTGCATCACCTTGAAGACGGAAACATAGAAAATTTCCTTATATTGAATCAGGATAGTGGTCCATCTAGATCAGTATTGGAGACACTGACTGGCAGCTGCTCTGCAGGTAGGGTGTCTCCCAGCCCTGCCTGAAGATGCTGCCAGTCAAAGTTGTGGCCTAAGCTATGGAGCACTGAACCCCATCTTCTCTGCCCAAACAACCACCCCTGCAAGGTATGCCAGTGTTACAATAATCTTTATTGTCATTGTCCCATACAGAACAACGAAATTGAAAATCTACATTTACTGCCATGGCACAGATGGGAAACTGGGCATTGAGGGTTGCAGCGCTAAATTGCATTTAGTAGGGAAGAAGCCTCGCTGACTTGCTTCCGAGTAAGCCTGCGAAGGACTGCATTATGAGGAGTGCAAAGGGTAGGCTTCACCTGCTAGGAAGCCCCCAGTTTAGCTGGGGAGGTGTCAGGTCTACAGGGAGGGGTTGATCCGATAAAGCGAGGAACCAGGGATTAGCCCCCAAATCTTTTCCCAGCAAGCCATATCCCTGACCTGGAATAAAATGGCGTCAGGAAGAACAACAGTGCCTCTGAACATGGGCAGAGTGTCTTCCTCTATATACGACAAAGATGCCGTTTGTAGTTTCACATCTGCTTTTAATCAAGATGCAAGAAAACGTCATTAATGGTGGGTCTTCCTACAGGATCTGGGCGGCTCAGGTAACCCCCTGAACCCCCCCCTTTGATGCCCCACACAATGCCTGACCACCCCACCGCTCCCCCAAACGCCATCAGTCCCGCAGCTGGGCAGAGACGCTGCTGTCCGTCACTCTCGTCCGGAGGAATCCAGCCGGCGTCTCGACCTCTTTGGCCTTGTGGAGGAAGTGGACATAGCGCAGTCCTGCTCCGTAGCGCTGGAATACGTGGGAGACCTTGAAAGAGATGGGGGGGAAACGGTCTCAGTCCACAAGGCTACAACCACAGGGGGGCTGGGCTGGAGACCCCAAAGTTCCTCCAGCGTAACCCACACATATGTACCCATTTCTCAGACAGGCAAACTGAGTCCTTAGGGGTTTTTTATGACAGCAGACAGTGCGGCTCAGCCAACCCAGTGAGACCCAGATCAGTCAGCGTTTGGGGCTTTTTAGTTTAGAGAAAAAGCGAGGAAGTGGCGACATGATGGAACTTTATAAAACTGTACATGTCATGGGGGAAGTGGGTAGAAAAAAGCTTTCTTCCATTGCTTGTGCATGTCCACGAGAACTTGTGGACATCCAGGAGTTTGCAAAACAAGATTGAGGAACTCCCCTATGAAGAACGGTTACAGTGTTTGGCATTTTAAAGTTTTGAATCATAGAATTACAGAGCTGGAAAGGACCCAGAGGTCATCCAGTCCAACCCCCTGCAATGCAGGAATATGCAGCTTTCCCGTGGGGGGATCGAACCTGCAACCTTGGCCTTATCAGCACAGCGCTCTAGCCAACTGAGGAGACACGATGCTTTATAAAATTATGAAGGGCACAAAGGAAGCAGATAGAGAAAAGATTTCGCCTCTCGTAAAATGAAGTCCTTCTTTAAACAGCGCGTGGTTAAACTGTGGAACTCCCTGCCACATGGCCCCCAACTGGGATGGCTTTAAAGGAGGATTAGAAAAATTCATGGGGGAGGAGAAGGTGATCGATGGCTATGCTCTGCGCTCCACAGTCAGAGGCAGCAATGCTCCTGAACACCAGTTGCTGGAAAATGTGGGAGTGGAGATAGCTCCTGTGTTCGAATCCTGCTTGCAAGTTTCCCACAGGCATCTGGTTGGCCACTGTGAGAACAGGATGCTGTACGAAACGGTCCAGCCCCCTGCCAGGCATGACTCCCTGGCCCTGAATGGGGCAACTGTGCCCCTGAAGGACCAGGTGCGCAGCCTGGGAGTCATTCTGGACTCACAGCTGTCCAGGGAGGCGCAGGTCCATTCTGTGTCCAGGGCAGCTGTCTGCCAGCTCCATCTGGTACGAAGGCTGAGACCCTCCCTGCCCTCAGACTGTCTGGCCAGAGTGGTGCATGCTCTGGTTATCTCCTGCTTGGACTACTGCAATGCGCTCTACGTGGGGCTACCTTTGAAGGTGACCTGGAAACTGCAACTAATTCAGAATGCGGCAGCTAGACTGGGGACTGGGAATGACTGAAAGACCTACATTGGCTCCCAGTACGTTTCCGAGCACAATTCAAAGTGTTGGTGCTGACCTTCAAAGCCCTAAACGACCTCGGTCCAGTATACCTGAAGGAGTGTCTCCACCCCCATTGTTCAGCCTGGACACTGAGGTCCAGCTCCAAGGGCCTTCTGGCGGTTCCCTCCCTGTGAGAAGCCAAGTTACAGGGAACCAGGCAGAGGGCCTTCTCGGTGGTGGCGCCCTCCCTGTGGAACGCCCTTCCACCAGATGTCACCAGAGAACAACAACTACCAGACTTTTAGAAGACATCTGAAGGCAGCCCTGTTTAGGGAAGCTTTTAATGTTTAATTGACTCTTGTATCTTAATATTCTGTTGGAAGCCGCCCAGAGTGGCTGGGGAAACCCAGCCAGATGGGCGGGGTATAAATAAATTATTATTATTATTATTATTATTAGCAGATAGAGAAAAGATTTCACCTCTTTCGTAACACTAGAAGTTATGGGCATCCAAGGAAGTGAACGCTGGAAGATTCAGGAAAGGGAAAATGAAGTCCTTCTTTAAACAGCGCGTGGTTAAACTGTGGAACTCCCTGCCACATGGCCCCCAACTGGGATGGCTTTAAAGGAGGGTTAGAAAAATTCATGGGGCAGGACAAGGTGATCGATGGCTATGCTCTGCCCTCCACAGTCAGAGGCAGCAATGCTCCTGAAAACCAGTTGCTGGAAAATGTGGGAGTGGAGTGTGTCTTGTGTTCGAATCCTGCTTGCCCACCCAACTCAGCTCTTACGTGATGCCAGTTCTTGTTTTCCTGCCTGTCCTGCTCGCCCTCATGTGCCACGTGGTGAAATTCACCCAGCACCGTGGCCCTGTCTGCTCCCAGGAGCCGGACGTGGAGTTCATAGACAGAGTCGGCCAATTTGCTGTTTTCGTACCTGCAGGAAGAAAGCAGTCCTGTTAGAGCTTATGGTTTTGTCCCCCCAAGACTGCCTTTATCACTGCAGAACTGCTGCCCTCTGGTGGTCTGAAATAAAGCATGTGTGAACACACTTTTGCACCTGATTTACTAGATATACCGTATTTTTCACTCCGTAAGACTCACTTTTTCCCTCCTAAAAAGAAAGGGGAAATGTGTGTGCGTCTTATGGAGCGAATGCAGGCTGCGCAGCTATCCCAGAAGCCAGAACAGCAAGAGGGATTGCTGCTTTCACTGCACAGCAATCCCTCTTGCTGTTCTGGCTTCTGAGATTCGGAATATTTTTTTTCTTGTTTTCCTCCTCCAAAAACTAGGTGCATCTTGTGGTCTGGTGCGTCTTATAGAGCGAAAAATACGGTATTTAGTGACGGTGCAATTGCATCTTACATGCATTTAACCTCTGCAATTTCAAACATATGTGGCTGAAGGCAAGCTGAATGAAATTGTGTGAGATGTGCCCCTCCCATTCATCACGCCCCCACTCAAAAAACCCCCACATTGTAGTGATGTATGGAAGTGAGAGCTGGACCATAAAGAAGGCTGATCGCCGAAGAATGGATGCTTTTGAATTCTGGTGCTGGAGGAGACTCTTGAGAGTCCCATGGACTGCAAGAAGATCAAACCTCTCCATTCTGAAGGAAATCAGCCCTGAGTGCTCACTGGAAGGACAGATCCTGAAGCTGAGGCTCCAAGACTTTGGCCACCTCACGAGAAGAGAAGACTCCCTGGAAAAGACCCTGATGTTGGGAAAGATGGAGGGCACAAGGAGAAGGGGACGACAGAGGACGAGATGGTGGGACAGTGTTCTCGAAGCTACCAGCATGAGTTTGACCCAACTGCGGGAGGCAGTGGAAGACTGGAGTGCCTGGCGTGCTCTGGTCCAGGGGGTCACGAAGAGGCGGACACGACTAAACAACTAAACAACAACAACAACAATTTGTACCAGGGCTTTCCAAGGCTTAGCCTGGAATTTTGCTAACAGAATATATCAGGGATGTCCAAGTCCCAACAGACTGCGATCTACTCACAGTGTAAAAAAACTGGCAGTGATTTTAGGAACCCAAAGTTTTGGAGATTTCGGGTTTTTGCATTTCTGCTTTTCTGTAAGGAAATTGCTGAGGGGCCGGAGATCAACCAGGATCTACCAGGAACACCCCGCGATCTACCAGTAGATTGCGATCTACCAGTTGGACATGCCTGGAATATATTATAGGCAAGGGATGAATGCATCTGAGCATGTACAAAGTTTATTTCCCTCACTCCTGTGGAACTGCCAGCCTTGGCGATCTTGGCCCTGAAAATAGGCTACTCATCAGTGGTGTCAGGGAGAATCTTTGACAGAGAGCCAGAGGTAAGGGATCAGGTCAGAAACCAGGACAGGGGAGGTAAAAGATCACCACCACCATCATCAAAATATTAAAAAAAAAGCCAATGCAATTCTGGGCTGCATCAATAGGAGCATAGCATCTAGATCAAGGGAAGTAATAGTGCCACTGTATTCTGCTCTGGTCAGACCTCACCTGGAGTACTGTGTCCAGTTCTGGGCACCACAGTTCAAGAAGGACACTGACAAACTGGAACGTGTCCAGAGGAGGGCAACCAAAATGGTCAAAGGCCTGGAAACGATGTCTTATGAGGAACGGCTAAGGGAGCTGGGCATGTTTAGCCTGGAGAAGAGGAGGTTAAGGGGTGATATGATAGCCATGTTCAAATATATAAGAGGATGTCACATAGAGGAGGGAGAAAGGTTGTTTTCTGCTGCTCCAGACAAGCGTACACGGAGCAATGGATCCAAACTACAAGAAAGAAGATTCCACCTAAACATTAGGAAGAACTTCCTGACAGTAAGAGCTGTTCGACAGTGGAATTTGCTGCCAAGGAATGTGGTGGAGTCTCCTACTTTGGAGGTCTTTAAGCAGAGGCTTGACAACCATATGTCAGGAGTGCTCTGATGGTGTTTCCTGCTTGGCAGGGGGTTGGACTCGATGGCCCTTGTGGTCTATTCCAACTCTATGATTCTATGATTCTATGATTCTATGAAAAATACAATAAAACATCAGACATTAAAAATTCCCTAAACTATGGGACTGATGGGAAGGGTTCTGCCACAGACCGTCTGCACGGCCCTTGTGCAAATCACTTATTTTACGAAGCAGAGCCCAAGTTGTTTTGGAGTTGAAGGACAGGCTTCCAGTTCAAACAGCATAACTTTTTAGGTAGCATCAGGCCCCAGCAGTTATTTTTAGAGAGCCAGTGACGCTCTCAGTGTGCTTCTTGCCCATTGTGCCAAACAAGGCCAGAAAAGAACTGGGGTCGTAGAATTATAAAACTGTGGACTTGCAAGGGACCCTCAAGGTGTTAGAATTCCTGCTCCGTGATTGCAGTCATGGGATTGTTGTCTATCACATGACGGAGTATGTTTTGACTCCACCGAGTGGGAAGTGACGGAGACAGGATGTTTGTGTTCCTCTGTTCCGTGAAGTGGGATCATTGTCCTTTGTTTTTTCTCTTTGCTGTCTGATGCTAGAGAGAGAGGGAACCGTGTTGCAGTGCTCCATGTATGTTTAAATAAAGTAGATTAGCCAAAATGCTGAGTTGCTGAGGTCTGTCACGCAAGGTGCGCAAACTCTGCGGATCCCTAAGTGTGCCGGTGTCGGTTAGCATCGGTCGCTGTGATGTTCGGGCTGAAGAAAGCTTTTGAAGCTCCCGAACGATCGACCAGGAGGGAGAGAACATGCCAGTCGGGCATGTGTCTCTGCCAGGGTCCTACTCGAGTGTAGGACGGGCTCCTGACACCCAGGGTCATCCAGTCCAACCCCCTGCAATGCAGGAATGCAGGGCGAACTAACCACACACACTTACCAGTCCATGACGGTGAAGTTTGGCTGGTATGAATCCAGCAGCTCCTCCCAAAATCCTTCGGCCACCAGGTCTATGTGTTGCTGCTTAACGCACCAGCTAGAAAGGGCAAAAGGGAGAGAAGGAAGCAGGTCAGCTGTTCCAATGACACTCAAAGAGACAAGAGCAGCTCACAGGGACTCCAGTGCCGGATTTACGTATAAGCTAAACAAGCTATAGCTTAGGGCCCCCCTCTCTTGGGGGGCCCAAAAAAATTTAAAGCAAAAAAACCTGGATGCACATTTCCAAAATATAAGATAAACAACAAATAAAATAAAGCTTATATACAGCAACAGTGTTTTGTGTTGTGTAGGCTCCTGTGATGTAAGTCATGGACCCCACCTGCTAGCCTGCTCCCTAAAATATCACTGGTTTGCTCCTTTCTATATATAGGGTAGGGACGCAGGTGGGGCTGTGGGTTAAACCACAGGGCCTAGGACTTGCCGATCAGAAGGTTGGTGGTTTGAATCCCCACAACGCTGTGCGCTCCCGTTGCTCAGTCCCTGCTCCTGCCAACCTAGCAGTTCGAAAGCACGTCAAAGTGCAAGTGTGGCATCTGAATATAGACTGCATTTTTAATCAAGGCATATATTGGCTTATATTTTGATCAGGTTCCTAAAATTCTAAAAATAATGTTTCTTCCAAGGTAGAAAACCAGCAAGCGGCTCCAGCAAGCAGCTGGCAAGCAAAGGGCCCCCCGGTTTATTGCGGTCATAAAAAGGCTGAGAAGCAGGTCACTGACCTTGCATGCTGTAGAGTACCACTAAGTCGTAAAAGCTGGAATTACAGGCTGAAGACCAAGGTTACACAGACCCTACATAATTAGGGATGAGTAAACAGTAAAATAAAACCATGGGCCTCTCTTAAACTTGAGTCACAGGACAAAAGGTCAAGAGCACTTGGAAGAGAAAACAAGGCGACTGGCTGGAGAGGGGGGGGAAGTATGAACAGGGAAGAGGCTTCTTTTAAAACGATTTTTTACTGTGTTCCTTTTTACTGAGTTCTTTTTCTTCTTTAAAAAGGCTTTATTCTTTTAAAGAAGCTACCTGTGTTGTGTATTAAATATGCTGGCTTAAATGTAATTATGCAAAGGATTTAACAAATGCTAGAAGGGTTGTATTTATCTTGAAATTAAGTCAGCCATTGAGTCCAGCCCCCTGCCAGACGAGAAGACGCCATCCGAACAATTCTGATATATTAGCTGTCAGATATTTGTTTAGAAACCTTCAAATGAAGGAGATCTTTCAATATTGATGTGAAACTCAAGATCCTTGACATATGTTTAAGATAAAAATTTAAGATTAACCATTTGTTTTAGAAGGCAATAGGGCAAGAGGTGAGCTGGTAATTAAGATTCCATGTAAGATATATTATTACTTATTTGTCATTTATATATAGCTCTTTGTCTCCCTTATAAGGACAGGAGGATATGAGTGTATTTTTGTGATTGGTTATACTAATCAGCCAATAGGAATTTCAACCAGGCTGATGGGACAGAGGCAGCCCAAGGAGGAGCAAAGGGGGCTGGATTAAGGGAATATAAGTGCTGGCCATAATGGCAGGAGGCCAGGCCAGAGCTTGGTAATCATATACCACTGTGCCTCTCATTTATTTGTCTGACAAATAAATTATTATTTAATTTCTCTGTTGCTGCGTTGAATATTTCATTCCAGCTAAGCGTTAACCACAAGCAGGGTGCTACATTTTATGGTGCCTGCGACTCGGATCAGTGGTCTGCTGGAACGCAGCTCCTTCGCCTACTGAGCGGGGTACAAGACAGAGGATCACTCACTGCCTACTCAGCGCGCAATGGAAAAAATTTTTCCAGGGGAACGCAGCAGTCTCGTCTGTCTGATACCCTGCCCACCGACGGCGACGGACCGGGGGGGACCAGAGAAATAAACAGGGAACCAGCTAAGGGTAAGTGCACAAAGGGATTTTTGGCCCTCCAATTAATTGGGAGGAAGAGAAGTCTTGATCAAACTTCTGCGTCTCAGTAAGTGGGAACTGAGTACGCTAGGTGGTTGGATACATCAGATGGTGGTCTGGTGGGGGAAAAGGGAAGTTGGGAGGTAGTGTGTGATTGAAGTATCTGGCGCATTGCATGTGTGAGAAAGTACAATGTGTAGCTGACCTAAGTGTGGAGTGAGTGCTACTTCGTTTCCCAGTAAGGTGTGTGTGTGAGTGACTGAGTGGATACTTCACAGGGCCATACAATGGGAGTTGGGGGTTCAAAAGGGGAAAATACACCTCTTGAATGTATGTTAAATAATTTTAAGAAAGCCTTCTCAGGGGCGTATGGAGTCAAAATGACGCCAGAGCGCCTGAGAACGTTATGTGAATTAGAGTGGCCGAAGCAAAATACTGAATGGCCATCTCAAGGAACCTTTGATATAAATTTAGTAAGCAAACTTTGGTCTAACATCGCCAAAGAAATTGGAGGGTGCCCAGAACAATTTTCATATATAGATTCCTGGCTGAGCACATTAAATAAAAATCCTCCATGGATAAGGGAATGCAAAGTCCAACGATGCAAATTATTGGCTGTAAAAGCCGAAGCTAGGAAAGGAATCTTGCCAAATAAACTCAAACCCATTTTTGAGGGACCAGAGGAAGAGGTGCTTCCACCTCCACCCTATGCTCCACAATCGAAGGGAGCCTAATTCGAACCCTCCACCAGTTGTAACCCCAAGGCAAGAAAGTGGAATGAATAATGGGGCTGGAGTCACAGAACTTGATTCCTTGATAGATTATGATAAATATCTTCAGGAGGCATTGGAGTCCTATAATGAAGCCCAAGCAGAAGTGGTTATTCCACCTGTGAGTCCCAGTAGAACTCCATCTACAGTCTCTTTTAGTGGAACAACTGATTGCCTACCCCAAACCCCTGTACATCTATTATTACAGAAGTTACAGGGAGACCCTAATCGGTCAGCAAACAATACAGCCAGGCGTATAGAGCTGCTAAAAGAACGCCTTGGGACAGATACCATCCCCTATGATTTGAGGCCCCTAGAGCAAAGCGAAGAAAAAGGTCACGTAGTAGCCCCTCTTAGAAGAGTATTTGATGCACTTGAGGAGCCTGTGCTGGTTAATGAGCAGGCCAGAGTGGGAAATATTTTTAATATTGACCGTCATCTCCAGGAAAACTTTCCCTTGGAAGATCCTAATTGGGATCCAAACAATGCAATTCACCTGGCCAGGCTTACTACCTATCGCCAGATGCTTGTGCAAGGTATCTGCAGGGCATGCCAGAAGCCCACTAATATGTCTAAAGTTTCAGGAGGGTAGATGTGTTACCCATAACACTGTTTCGTGTTCGGTGTGCACCCACAAAAAGACTTAAGTTGTCACCTTTTGAGCTCCTGTATGGGAGGCCGCCCTCCTTTGTTCAGGATATTCCAACTGACCTCAAACAAATAGGAGACCATGCAACACAGGGACAAGTGCAATCTCTCTCCCGTGTTTTTGTCTCTCTCCCGTGTTTGTTTGTTGTTGTTGTTTTTATCTTAACAGGTGGGCCCTCGAGCACACGCCGTGCAGCATTGCCTGCCGATTCATCAGTTCCAGGCTGGCATAGCATATGGGTGAAAGAGTGGAAACGTGATCCACTTGCACCTAAGTGGCGTGGACCTTACACCGTCTTGCTCTCTACTCTAACAGCGGTGAAGGTAGCTGAGGTGACCCCCTGGATTCATCACTCCCGTTTGAAGAAGTCCGAAGGCAGTTGGACGTGCAAAGGTGACCCCTCTAATCCTTTAAAACTGACTCTCTCCAAAAACCCCTGTATCTAGCCCTACCGGGAACGGGCTAGGTCACGGGCAACATTAGACGACCGGCCTGCTGCAGCCACAAACCTGGAAGCTGGCTGACCTGCGCACGCCTGAAGCTTGAGGAGCGTCTGAACCAGAGACTGTGAGCGGGAAGATTCTCTTATACAATTGATTGACTGCCCCCTTGTGGAACAATTATCAGAGATATTACACATTGGGGATTCTTGGGATATATGTTTTGGTCTTGGTGGTTCCCCATTTCTGTCACTGGGGGAATTATATTGGGACTAATAGTTTTATGCTATCACAATAAGGTAATCTTTTGTGGAAGGAATGCATATGCTAGACATCAACATGATTTTATTATTAATCCTGATCCCTTGGGAAGGGGAGGGTCCTTGAATCTGACCAAAATTGCTAAATATGGATTCAGCCATGACCACAATATGTGGGTAGGCTTAGCTGCGATGGTAGGCAATGTGGCAAATAGGACCATTGCTGATTGCTCTTTTGGGCCAGATGATTTAGAGGGAGGTGTGCCCTTATTACCGATACCATTAGATGCCATTGGTATGGTAAGCGAAATGCCACACCAAACAGAAATACAGAATTTCCCCGGATGGAACTCAACTAAATCATTATGAGTTATACCTGTACAAGGGGAATTCTGTGTACATAATCATCAGATGCCAGCTGGATTCTCCCATGGTAGGCTCTTCTCATTGCCACTATACTTGGGATTATATTAAGAATACCTGGGCACACGATACTACCTATCGAATCGGGATCCTTGCCCCTGTGCACCTCCTTTTATTCATGCATGGGAAAGTGGTATGGAACATAACTGTGACAGAAAAAGGCAATCTAACATACTGCCAACTGTGAACTCTCTACCTCTTTTGCTATTTCGCCTTCTGTACTCCACGTACCAAAAACCTCAGACCCGATGGTTGTGGTGGATATGTGGAGAATGGGCATACAAGAAACTCCCTTCCAAATGGAGTGGGACTTGTTTCCTGGGATGGGTATTACCACCAATGTGGATTTGCCCACTAGTTCAGCCAAGCGAACACGAAGAAATGCTGATATTTCTCAGTATAGCAGGAGGGAGAGTACCCAAAGTTGGAGCGGTACTGATGATTGGCCGCCAGAGCGCATAAAAGCCTATTATGATCCTGCCTCCTGGAATCCTGGTGAGCTCATACAAGGGGCACGGGATCCTATTTATAATCTAAACAGAATAATTCGATTGCAAGCAGTAGTGGAACTTGTAACCAATGCAACGGC